TTTTTACGCAAATTTTAATACAAATTCTTTGACTTTTCAATTCTTCCATTGTAAAAATCGCCGAGCTCAGAAAAACACGTCGAACCTTAGCGACTACCACAGACAAAGTAAACAGTGAATATAGCTGAAAATTTCATCATACTTTAGGGGCATGTATACCAACACAATAAAAAAAAAATTTTGACAATCAGACACTCCAGACCCGCGAAATTTAATTATTAGTAATTCCGGGTACTTTTTGAACACACCTCGTATTTCATTGAAGATTGGCATATAATATCATCAAATATGTAGAGTAGAAGGTATTAGGGTATAAGACAATCTAGTATGTATCAACTAACGCTGTTGGCAAAAATATAAGGTAAAACGTAATATTTCTTAAACCAGCTGCAATTCAGGAAAGAGTTAAAACAAAGCCTTCCACCTAGACGGCATTCTCAAATAAATGTGCTACCGTTGATGATGTTCTCCTTAAAGTACCTTCCCTAAACACCTCTCTAACGTCTCAGGATATTAGTGCGATGTCGAGTGTTAAAGGGTGCGCGTGCCGAATAATCCATCAGGCGGTTGATGTTTATTTAACTACGCAGAGATGTTTAATTAAAATCAAGCGATTTAGACGAGATTGTTATTATGGGAAATTGTCCTTTAATAATGATGGAAATACCTTTGAGTGTGAATAGTTTAGTGAAATGACTACCAAATGAAACGACCTCCAAAATCAATTAGATCTGTATGGCTTGATATTGTTGAAGTCTTAACATCTATAGCAGTGACACCCATTTATTAAGAATAGATAGAAAAATTTTGCTTTTAAGAAAACTAGTTGAAATAAAATAGTTTTGTACTATCATCAATACATATTTAAATAATGTGACTCTACTTAATTTCCCCAAAGACTTTTCCTTGTAAAAAAAACTATATCTACGTTTTAGACCACAATTTTGATTCAGCTTTGATAATTAAAAAAACTGTTCGAAGACTGTATGTGCGTATTAAGGTTCTCCTTCGATTAACTAAGGTTGTTAGGTTATAATTTAATCTTTGTAGCTGTGGACTGTATTAAATACTGATTTGTTGGGATAATTTAAGTATTTGATGCAGTTTATTTTACAATCACTGATTTGTCACTAAGTTATAATTAAAGAAGATATTATTCACGCCAAAATAGACGTGACAACGTCGCATTAATTTTGTCGTGACAGAATTGCATCTTACAACGATGCATGGACATCTTTGACTCAAGATCAGCAATAAAATAGCCATCTAGGTACCTGAAGGCACATAGGCATAGTCTAGACCAGATCGCGAAACTATCAGCATCAAAAACTCAAATATTATACAAATACTCAAATACTTTACAAATACCACAAAAACAATGTAAATTTACTGTCTAAAGTAAAATAGTGTAAATCTTCTTGTTATTAATTAATCTTTACAATTTAAAACGGTTGATAGAGCCACAAATTCTATCTGGTCCTTCAGCTATACATTTCAACAAAAAATAGATATATTTATTGATTATTTATTAAATATGTTTTAGAAGTAAGAAAAATAAGTCTGATTCAAATTCGCTACCCTCTCTACATGTTAGCAACCATCCGATGTAAAAGCACAATGCCATGAAGATTGCCGCCTTCATGGTCAATATAATAAAATGAAAATACGTCCGAACAAAGATAATCGAGCCTTTCAACGAAATAAGCAATCAAATAAACTTTTATTTACAGTTGCGCAAAAATAAAAAAAAATAACAGTATCATTTGTTTTTATAGAATACAAGTTATTAAGTTTCATAAAATTTTTTTTCAATAAATCCACTAGTATATGTTTTTTTCAGCCGGTTGAAATTACAGGTGTGTTATTCAACCATCCGTGTGAAAGCAAAGCCGAATTTTGGAAAACATAAAAAAGTTATATCGTTTGATGGAGTTTTGTTACGTGAAATTTGCATAACCTGCGATTACCGAATAACACATGCCCTCATGCATTCATAGCACGTGCAACGCCGGTTGTGTATATTTTTTTTACAAATCGGATGTTTGCTGAACACGAGTCTTTATTATTGAGAGCGCCGGGGGATGGGGCGATTGCCATTTTGGGGTTAGAGCTCGGTTCACGGTACACATGTACGAATTTACTTTGACTTAGAACCATAATGTTGATTTAAATATTTTTTACATTTTATATTATGAAAAACATGTTTAAAAAAAAAATTACATAAATTGCATTATCTGAACATTTGCTTCGGGTTGCTCCATATTGTTACCTGAATGAGAGCAGACGAACTTGATTTTTCGAATGTTATACAATTTTTATGCAAATTATATTCTCCACAACGCAGATCCAAAAAATCTCAAACAAATATCCGGAATCGGATGACTTTATTTGCTTCTACTTCAGAAAGTTGTTTCCGAAAATTCCACAAGATATATAAAATCAAGATCACAAGGGAGCTAACGAAAACAATTGAGCGAAGTGAGAATCGTAGTAAACCAAAGAACATAATCTGGATACTCAACGCGCTCTCCTACGCATATAATATACAAGTTTGTGTATAGTCTAGTCTAGACGAAAAATTTCTATTGTATTTTCGTATATATATATATATATATATACTGGCCGACCCGGAAAACCATAAAAAAATTCTAGTATAAAATGTTTAGTACGGAAACAACTAACTGATTGCAAATGTGGTGCATACGTGAAAAGAGCAGCTAACAAAAATAAATGAGTAGTTTACCCACTGCAAAGCACGCCACATATAAATGTCCTTTAGTCTTTGCAAGAGCCAACGTAATCTGAAACTGATCCTATTTAGATTGAATTGGCACATTTAATGTTTCAAGATTTTGACATATTATTACCGTGTTTTTATTATTTCAGTAATTTTAGAATTACGAATCAAAATCCGATCATTTATTTTTAAATTATCTGATTTGAAACTAACAAAATTAGGAGTCATAAACCGTTTTTATCTATCTCATATAACCGCGATTGCGATTTGGAATTCTAATATCAAATTTTGAATATTTGCTCTAATCAATTCGTTTATTCAATTCGATCAATTGATTTACCATTAGTTCAAAATAGAGGTGATAATTATTGTAATATAACATGGATATATGAAATATTTGAATACGTTCATAAATTATTGTGGACATATATAACCTGCTAGTAACAAACAAGTGGAAACATTCGAAAACTAAATGTTATTGAAATTGCATAGTTATGCTCGAGGATGAATTAGGTAATGATTCGATTCAGGTAATGGTTTAATTTTTTGTGATTGAAATTATAATTTATTTGTAGAAATTTTTCTATCTCTTTATAAGGAATATCTATAAAATAACGTGGCCCTGATGGTTTATATCTGAAAATAATTAGATTTTATATCTTACTCAATGAACTTTATATAAATAATAGAATTTAACACAATACACGAATTTTGATATGCAATTTATTAAGCATAACTACTTTTTGCCTATCATGAAAAAATTATTGAATATTTTCATATTTTTTTTTTGTTTTTACTTTTTTCTGTACTCTTGTAACGTTGATGAATAAATTACAGAAAAAATGATTGCCGTAAAAAAATTGATTGCCGTTCTTTTACAATTAGAGAAATGATCTAATATTCATTCTTCAGCCTCTACACTAGAATACCTCCTTAAGTATTAATTTTTGAGCTGTTTTTGTTTTTAATTAAAAAGAAAATTTATAAACGCTCAGTTTTATAATTTTATTGAAATACTTATTGTACTTTTATTGAAATCTATGTCAAATTTTACGTCAATCTGTTTATAGGTTCAGTTGGAACACTTCGGTTTCCAAGCAAGAAAAAGTTGTTTCTTCATTTTTTATTATGTCTGAAATTATTCAACATAGAAGCAGCATTGAATTTTTTGTGCAAAATGAACTATCTGCAGCTGAAACCTTCAAAATGCGTTACAGGAGGCTTTGGCGAGAAGTCAATGTCAAGAGCAAGTGTTTTTGATTGGCACTGATTTTTTAAAAAGGGCAAAAAGGGCGTTGAGACAAACCACATCAAAAATGACCAAGAACATCTACTGTCAACAAAATCAAAGAATTGGTGCTGCAAAATCGTTGGTTGACTACTAGAGAACTTTGAGCTGATATTTTTGGAATTTCAAATGGATCAGTCAACACCATTTTGAAAGTCGTTTTTACACTACGATATTGCATCATAGCACATTGCTCTCGTTCTTCATGACAATTTTGCCAAAAACTCAATCAAATTTTGGGCGATCACCGTATTTGCCTGATTTTGCGTTCTGTGACTTCTGGCTATTCTCTAAACTCCAAGTTGAATCGAAGAAGAAACCAATGGCCATAGAAAGACGAGTATGAAAATCTTTTGTAAACTGCAATAAGTTTTGGCGTAGTTGCATTGCATCCGTGAGGGATTATTTTATGGAAAATAGTGTGATGGACCGATTCTGCCACTGCCAATTTTTATGACAAGTCTATGTTGAAGAACTTTCCATGCAAATTCGTTCTGAATATTGTCAAAAGCCATGCGATTGCTTTGCAGTCAGGTTGTCAGATAGAAAACCTAACCTAGGAACCGCACAAATGTCAAAAAAATAATCTTAAATAACAGGGTCTTTCTGACCCAGCTTCATAACATACAAGTGACGTTGCAGTTTATGTGTAAAACGCCTGAATGCACAGGAAATACATGAAATTTTGACAGTATTAAGTATAATTTAGTAGCATAATAAATGGAAGTTGGAAGGTAACATGGCCTTGCCATAACATTGATCTGCTGTGGGGCAGAATCGGCACATGGATTTAGAAGAATATATAAATATCTCAAAAGTCTTAAATAATCAGATAATGCCCATTGTGTGTCCACCCCTGTCTCGGTGAAACGTTAAATCGCTACTATAGGAGTTCATTGAATTCGCTAAGCGTTCGTTAAGTATGTACATGAAGTTTATATTATACTGTTGTTCGCATAATGTGTAGGCACATACTTGTAGTTAGCGACTTGTTTCGGTTGACGGGCTCAGCCCACACGAGCACGATGCTCTGTATTTATGTCCTTTGATGAGTCACTAATGAGAGGCACCGGTGCTATTTTTCCAGTAAGGATACCTGTAAAAAAATAATCTTTTATTAGAATTCGATCTATTAATAATTCAATAGGAGCTGTTGCGATCGATTGATTAAGTATATAGAGAAAATAAAATAAAAAATCATATGTAAAAAACAATCACATCATTCGTGATGTGATATAAAATTAGTAATCATATGCTAATTGTATGTCTCAGTATAGTTCTCAAATATTTCACGTACATAATTAGCATTTTTCTTCCATAAAAAGCTCTTTTTACGGTTTGTCAAAAAAAAGTTTTAACTTATTGTCATGCCAGTTATATGTGAGTGACATTAAAAATAGTAATTTTCCAAGAATTTTGGAAAACAATTTTTTCTTTGGTATATTAAGTTTTCTTGGTATATTTTAAACTATATTATCTATTAAAATTATCATGGCTCACGTGAAATTTTTTCTGATATTATCATGGTTAAAATATACCTTTCCAATCATCAATGTATAAAAATATGTCAAAAGAATTTTTTAGCTTTGATAATTTACTGCTTAAATACTTCCAGGCTTCATATTACTGTAACTCCTTTGATGGAATATTATTTGTTACTCAATTTACTACTAGTTACTCTACTAGTTGGTATTGGTATTTTGCCTTGAGGCAAGTTACATGAACTTCCTGATATGTGTGAATAATCGACTTAATCAATAAAATATAAATTAATTTTTGAGTGATTAAAAGTATTCCTAGTGAAATTATTACACATAATTGAAGACGAACGAAACGTTAACTCGGAGTATTTTGTAAAAGCTATAATTTTCAAAAATCAATATTTTTTATAATTCAACCAGTATCCGTAGGACTTTAATGGTTTAGTATGTTCATAAGACCAAGTACTCTATCGTTATATAAAGTAAATCATCTAACTTTAATTTTAACAAACTCATTTTAACATACTCATTTTCTCAAATTTTGATGAATTTTTAAAATTAAACTACTGGTCGTAAGGTCCTAATATTTCAGTAAGTTCTATAAGACTATGATATATATCACCAAAACAAGTTCCATAAAAATCGGCTTATATTTTTTTTTTCAACAGTTAATTACAAGAAAACGATTCGGAAGATTTTCACCTAAAACTAATCAGTATCATTCCTAACTAATATCTTTCGAACAATTTTTGATTTTTTTAAATCGATTCGGTAGTATGAGCTTAGATAAGATATAACCACTGGTTTGATCTGCAAATATATTTAAAATGATGACTTTGTACCTTAAAAATGTTTATCGCAATATTTTTTTTTTAATTTATATTATTCTGAATTATTGATTTTGTCTGCTAGGCTGACGTTGCTTGTCTGATTAGTCTACTAATTTTACACTTTAAAATTATATTGAATCATCGATTATGTCAGCTAAAATGACATGCAAATTTATACTTTTCAATTATTTTAAGAAATAATTTGCGCAAGCTAGACAAAAGATCCTAGTCTGATTGCCGAATTTATACTAACTTGTAAAATTATACAAATGAAAAACAAAAAGTTGTAATACTAAACCTATCATTGCATTTACATTAACAAAGTAACAGTACTTGATTTTTACTATTTTTATTAGAAGCTTAATATTATTTTATCTTTTATATTAATTTATTAAGGATTTTAATTTCAATGTGAGTTATAGAATTTATTAGCTAGACTGAAATTGCTCTCTATACTGTAATTTTATACTTTTGATTATATTGGGTTATAAATAGTCAGCTAGAGAGAAGTTAGACTAGAACTAAAACCTCAGTTTTTTTTAAACCTTTATTAAATTTTCAATAATTTTATTTTAGGTTTTGGGGATTTGAGATGTCATCTTCGCAGGAACTTTGAAACTATTTTAAAACAAACACTCAACAAATATGGAATTGCACATTCACCAGATGTTTACTTTACAATTAGTGAATAGGTTCGTACTGATTCTCCAGGGAGATCTCTTGCAATACCAGGTATGTAATGTGAAACTCAATTTTTATAATTTTTTGAAGATAAATATTAACCCTTTCCACTCGGATGTCGCCACTTTGGCGGCAAAATTTATGTAAATCTCGGATTTTCGAGATTTTCGGATTTTGGAGTCGAGACATACATAATTCGAGAAGATCGAGCTTTTTCTCTCATTTTTTTCCATTGTAAAAAAATGCATACGTGCATATTGAGATCTATAATACACCATGAAGTATAAAGGGATTGAAATACATAATAATTCTTATCAAGTCCTTTGTCTAAAGTAAACCTTTTCTAAAAGATTGTTACAAAATTAATTTACCTACATTAGATTTCATTTATTACCTCTGTTTTGATTTAAACGATTACCCCCCAACTAGATAAAGTTATCATCCTCGACGCACGCGGCTCGACCGCAAGACCTCAACACCGCACGACAAGTTAAGTTCAGTGCTTTCACTTACCAGAAATTATTGTAATAAGGTCTGTGATATATATTCATGCCCGTCGTCGCGGAGGAGTCGCTCAGATATATATCTATTACGTTCAACATGCATAATGTACATATTGTAATATACACTTGAGTTTCATCGAAACTCCTGGACGCCCTCTTAGCATTAGTAGAAGAGCTCGAACACTCATTATAAAATCATATTAAAAGCTCTAAGGAAGCGGAGCTTATGGTCTTGTTTGTCATTTAAAAATTTTCTAGAGACAAAATGCCATTTACATCTAGTTACGTGTTTATTCGAATCAAAAGTCAAAATTTCAAAATTGTAATACAAGATAATAATTTCAGAGAATTTAGATAGAGAATTGTTAAACGCAAACTTTGCATTACGAGGGTTGCATTCTAATAACACGAGGTTATGGATTCTAGTATAGAAATTCAAAATAATGTTTTTTTTTTTAATTTTTGAACTAACTATATGCTAGCTCAAGTTAAGCTAATTCAAGAATATGTGTACGAGAGAATTTTTTAAAATTAAAATTATTTTTGCAGATACAGCTATTTGTCCATAATAATCCATTTTGTTTCCTTCTTTTAGCAAAATTTTAGACGTGTTCTTCTCAAAATTGTCTTTTTCAATATGTCCACGATTTCTCGAGTTCTACTGGGCTGATTTACCAGAGAATTTTCTTTATAGACTTCTTTTTGACATTTACCAGCTCCAAATTTCAAAATTTACTATGTTTAAAAACTTCCAGAAATACAAAAAAGTGGTCAGAGAATGGTCTATTTTTTCAAACAATCATCTTTGTTTTTTATTTCGAATTACTTAGAGGGTTGCAATCGGATACGGTTATGTGCCAATTTTTTGTTACCCCCACTTCAAAAACCGCTAATTTTTAAAATTAACATTTCTTATGTTTTTTTACTTTTTTGCTGACTATACAATCTTATTTTTTGAGCAGCTGTATTATCTTGCCTATAAAGATATTTTCCATTTGAATAACTTCAAAGATTTATTGAAACTACGAATAATATAGAAATTATTTCAATAAACTTACGTTTCGTACACGTCACAAATATTTCATTTGTTTTATTATTTTCATTATAATTATTTACGGAGGACAGTGTAAAATATTCTTCTGATTCAGGCATTTTATTAAATCAAAATTTGTACTACGATGTCACCTCAAAACTAATGACATTCCAATTTTCTTTGATGCCGGTACGCATACAGCGACGGATTTCTATTCACGCGAAACGACGACTAATCACAATCGACGCGTATACAAATGATTTCATCGAGAGCGAATGACAAATTGTTCGGGCGTAACGCTATTTCCGTTACATTTGTACAACTTTACTCCCTGGTCACACCTAAAGAAGTTTTACTTCAAAAATAATGATAATAATATCAATTTCATTCGAGTCGATTTTGATAGTTTTTTTTATTATATTTTTAACAGCAATCAGAACCTTACGTCCTATGAGCTGTTGGGCTGAAACTTCTCTTTACTTCGTATTTTTAGATGGTACCCCAATGGTTAATCCATCCATATTTGATGATTTTTGTTATTAGAATTAATCTAATAGAGCTGACTTTTTATTGGTGCAGCAATGCCGGGCAAGGGCTATTTTCACTTGGAAACATATTGCTATCAAGTGAAAATCGTTGTCACTGCTGTATGACAACAAGGTGCTCGAAGTGGGTATCGAACCCGGGACCTCTGAAACAAGTCCCGTCGCTCTTAACCGCTTACCTACGGGCGAGCTCAATTTTAATAGTAATTTTATATATTAAAAATACCTCCTTCCCATGTATGTATTACAAGTTCTCATGTCTCGAAACGTATCGGGCTCTCGGTCTCCTTGCGTATATAGCGAATGAGTAAGACGATGGTAAATTCTGTCGTCCCCAACCTATAAAGTCCTCCTCTCGGTACTGAGGGGGTATTAAGAGCCGTGAATCAAAGGGCTGTTCATTTCGGCCGTTTTACGATTCAAGCGTGCTCCACGAGCGAGCGACGTACCGCGCGCCGCTATAACTCCTCCACGAGTACGACGAAAACGGTCGGGGCGATTCTCAAGGACTGGAATCGAAACTATATGACATATTGTCACATATTAATATACAAACATTATTTTTAATTTTTAGTAGGGTAAGTTATAGTAATAGAAAAAAATCTAAAAAAATATTTTTTATTTTTTCATACTTTTAGTTTACGGTATCGGGAACACGAAAACCGATTTGATTCGTATTGACGGAGATGTTCTGCTTAGTTTTTGGAAAAAACAGGTCCAACGGTTTCGGAAATCCAGAGCAAAACGTGTAAAAATAGCAATTTTTGAGAAAACTGTGAATCCGATTAAAGTGATTCCAAAAACTATATTGCTTATGTCAACGGTGTGAAGAAATGACTAGATGTTGGCGTTTTTTTTTAAAAAAAAAAAAACTTTCTTGTTTTGAATATATTGGTAATAATTTTTGGATTTGATTTCCTATTTCTTTATGTAGTTGAACACAATCATTTTAATTTTCCAATCATATTTCATAATGTTTGTATAATAAAAATGAGAAATATGTGACAAGGTTTCGGGAAGCAT